CTTAAGAAGACATCCAGTTCCAGAACAGTCTCTTATATCAATTGGCACTGCCTATTATTAGAATTTTTGCTTGTTCCCTTGGTGAGGGATTACATTTCAAGCATTACTGTCAATCATTTTTCAGTGATGTTCCTTTTTGCAAAACAAATTGTGAACAAGGAGAGCAACTGCTTCCTTTCTCACTACATGTTTACCTTCTGTTAGTACTGTCCTAACTAACCCTGACATAACTGTGAGCCTTCTTCTTGAGGCCAAGAAAAGATGCTGCCTTTCTACCCACTGGACTAGGGCATTAAACCAGATGGAGTGTTGACTTGTGTCAGTCTATAGGAGAAGACTGCAGTTTGGTTGGTTTGCTAAGATAAGAGTCCTTTCCTATTGGTCATTGAGGGAGAAATAGATTAGTCCTATATGGGGAGGGGGAGAGAGAGGATTGGAATCCAGCCTGGTAAAAAGAGAATGGGATCTGCATAACAATTCTTTGTATTTTGGTATTTAAAATGACACCAACTGAATAAGTCTTTCACATGAAGAATCACTAGTAGATTTACAAGGTTGTTGGAGCAAATTCTCTTAAGTTCCTCTATCTTTAAATTTCCATCATCTCAAATATTACTTTTATGGTTCAGTTTTAGGAAGGCTTCAAAATGGCATAGGTGTTTTTTTGTTTAGTTTGTTTTTCCTGTCATTGCTAAGTTGTTGGATTGTTGATAGTTTATTGAACCTTTTCCTTTCTGGACTTTCTTCTTATAAAGTCATACAGAAGCTACAGTCATAGATATTCCACCAATGTCTGCATTTATTCTGCCCTATGGTTAGTTAATGTTCTTCACTTGTCTGAGCAGACTTTCAGTACAGCCACAACTGTCTTGCCTTTGGCTGAGTTTTTGTTCATTGCCTCCTTGGCTGAACAGTTTTTCAGTTTTACGCTCTCTCCCAAGGATAATTTTCTGTAGAAAAATTTTCATGTGTGCTTCTGCAGTAGGGCAGCTTCCATTGAAGACAGGACTCCTTTCCTAACAAAACCTAAGCTGAAGGGAAGTAACTAAGTGGTTGAAAATACATGAGCTCAATCTAACCTATATTAGTTTTAACGTTTCAGCAAAAATACAATGTTGGCAAAATAAATTAGTTTTTTTGAGACTGATAGCAGTGAATGAATTACTGGATTAAAAGGAGTTGGAGTTGTGTATTGGTATTGCAAGAATTAACCTTTGAAGGTCTGGGTTGTGGAGTTCTGTTTGCTCTCATTTTATGTGGTGTCTTCATTTTCAGTTTTTTTTTATTTTTTTTATTTTTGAGGTTGGAAGTTGGATTGCCATAGAAGTAAATGACCACTTGATGTGGTAAGGTAAAAGCCAGGGTCACGTGAAACAATATTCTGTGGAGGAAAGACTGTTGCAGTTCCTTGCAGACCTGTATTATATCCATATTCCAAAGCTTTTCAGTGGTGTTTTCAGTGTGGAATGTTGTTTTGTTAGGTAGGAGAAGACAACTCAGTATTTCAGTGCTTGGACTTTTGAGCTTTTTGGGAAGGAACTTTCCAAAATGGTGTACATTTTTAGCAGTAACAGATTTTCATTTTCTTGATGTGAAGGAAACTTATGTTGCCATTAAAATCTTTGGGAACTGTGGTATGTTTTATTTTGCAGTGCGTGAGCAGTACACTGAAGAAATTTCATGCTTTCAGTCTGTGTCAAGTTTTTGCAGTACTCTCAGATGCTTTGGGAGGCTGTGTTATTGTGTTTTCTTTTCATTTTCCCCCAGATCTCGTTATATTGTCTGCTTATAATCTTGTATTTGGCACATGGCTGTGTTGCAGAAGCATTTCAAAGCTATTACCTCTACAGCCTCCCTTCTGGGAAACAAATATGTCCTTATTTACATACTAGGAAATCTTAGCTCTGCAGATGTCACAGGAAGAGCCATATTGAGAGCGTGGTGCTGGAAACACCAAGGTTGTGGGTTCAATCCCTGTATGGGCCTTTCACTTCAGAGTTGGACTTGATGATCCTTGTGGGTCCCTTCCAGCTCAGAACATTCTGTGATACTCTCCTTGATGGATACAGTCTAATGATGTAATTATAAGAAAATAATTTGAAGAACTTTAATGTATTTCCCCACATTAAAAACAAAGAAAATAAAACAAAACAAGCAGACAACCCCAAAACACAAAACAAAATTTGCAGTTACATTATGCATTTTGACTCTAAATCCTGTCTCCACTTGGGAAGGAGAGCTTGTGCCACTAAGCATTTAGAAAAACCTGGAGACTATTTTACTGAAAGGGGTTATGTGTGAGCATGATGCTCAGGAAACCTGGCTTCTCTATTCCAGAATACTTCTACCAAAATTGCATCAAGCAAGGGGTCTGCTTGTGAAATGACAGCATTTCTCAGGCATAGTGACAGTTTTACATGTCTAAACTAATGGGAATTTAAGAAATCGAGTAGGTTTGAGCACCCTGTCCTGGGTAGTTTCAGAGGACTACAGTTGATGTTGTCAGCCCTGGTAAATAGTTTCTTCCTGTACTTCTGTCCTTGCCCAACACCATGGGGAAATACTTGATGACTCTTACAAAAGGGCTCAATTCAAATTGTTTTTTTCTTTAGAGATATAGAAGAGTTTAATAGTTTTCCACTAGTCACTACTCAAATATTATTCCTAATATGGGGTTTTTATTATTAATATGCTGTAATATTGATAATTTTAACTTGCTTGTATTGTGAAAATAACCTTTTTTAGAAGGGGAGCCTATGTAGTGGCAGCAGCATCAACCAACGGCACTGATGATGTCCTATTTCTTCATGTTCTCCATGTCCCCAGGAATAGTAAGAATTGACCATTTTACAATTGCTGAGATAAAATAAACCAACCTAAATTGGAGAGATAGATTATATTGACAACACCAGCCTCCAGAATATGTTTGATTGCAGTCCCCTGTGGCTACATCAACTTATCGACCTGTAGGCTCTCTGTCCATTTTATGTCAGTCAGAAAGCAGGGCAGTTTATTGGAGACTGAGGTCCAAAGTTCAGACTCTTCTCTATCATTGTCAGATGGCATTATTATTTTAAGGGGAAAAAATGGTTGAATGGTTACGGACTTATTTCTTGTAAAACTATCAGTTCCTCTGCATAAATCACAGCTTGTTTGAGCTGTAAGGATTGTGCTTCTCAGCTATTCAAAGCATCATAGCTCCTTTTTAAATTTGTCTTGGGGACCTCAGCAATGCAAATGCATATTTGAATAATGTTTTAATTGTTGTATTTTCTTTCTGGTTTTTGATTGGTAAATGAAAACTTAAACCTGTTCAACTCAGCTTCAGATGTTCAAAAATCATGTCCTGCCTTGGTCATGAGGGGTAAATTTGCCAGCAAATGGAGAACACAGCTTTTTGCTATCAAATAGTTTAGCAATTGTAGCTCAGGCCAATATGAAGTTCTCTTGGAAACAAAATTCATAAGAGGCAGCTATTAATTTATAATAGGGTCCACTATTATGTTTTATGATTATAGCTTAAATAAGTAAAGCACTTATTTTTCCTAGAGTAGATAAGCTAGGTTGTCTGGCATGCGGTTTTCACAGTTTGTACTGTAGCTAAAGGGGAAAGTGTGTGTGTGTGTTTGTGTGTATATTTACAGACTGCAGAAGGAACCTTTTGGAATATAGGTGATGTAATTTACATGCTGAACAGAATTTCTGAATGAAGTTTGGTTTTTAATTACCTTTCTGTAGCATAAACTGCTAGGTATCAGAAGATAGGGTTGTGGACTTCCAAGACCTAGGCAACAAAGTCAAATATTACAGAAGTCTTTGGACATTAATAGTTTGAGGTACTTTTGCACCTTTTTCTACTAATCTGTAGTTCAGATGAAATCTACAAGTTTTATTTAAAAAACCCCAGATTGGACACATTAATTTTCAAATATGTTCTCAACTCCTACTCCCTCTGTCTTCCTCCATTCCCTCTCTCCCAACCTGCACAGCAGCAATTACAACATTTTAGGTGACTTCTCAGAATTTAGAAGGTAAAATCAACATGTCTTGGTTGGCATTATAACATATTTGAATGTCATTGGTACTAGTATTGAACTTTTTCCTTGCACGCTATTGTGCTGCCTCGCATTGTTCCTGGTAATTGCAGGGGTGCGTAGGAAAACGTGGAGGCATGCAGCTGTCTTTGTGCAGCTGACAAATAGCTTTGAAAAATATCATTGTTCTTACAGGGAAGTGAGAGAAAGACAACTCATTCAGTCTTAATGGAACTCTGGATATGTTTCAGGTAGGGAAGAAGTGAAATCCAGTGGGTGCTCTTTTCCACCCTGCTGACTAATGCCTGGTGCAGGACTGTGCTGAGCTGGGATCTTCCTGGGAGCAAAGGGGGAGTGAAGACTCTTAAAGGCAGTTTTGTGCTGCCTGCAGCACAGGCTTGCTAAAGACAGTACCCTCTTATTGATGGTAGATTTCCCTGCTGGGTTACATTGCTTCTTGAATTATTTCTTAACTTTCTACTAAATAAAGATGGACAACTTTGTTTAAATGCAGAAAACTTATATGTGTTAGATTAGTATGAGGATGCAGAACTAGTGCAGAGGGAAAATGCATTTTTCAAATCTGCTATTTTATTTTTTTTCTCAGATCAGAACTTGGAGTGCCACATGTGGGATACTTTTATAATGCTATATGAAAAAATTAAACAGATTTTATAAATAAGCTTCTGTTAATATATATCCATGTAATATTTTATATACATTTGGAAGACGTGAATGTAATACATTATGACTAGAATTTACTGTCAAGATGTTGCCATATTTTAGTGGCTGAAAAACGAAGAAAAGTCATTATGATTTCCCTTATTTTTAAGAGGGTTTTCCCTGTATGACATTCTCATTTTCCCCTAGCCTTTTTCCTACTTATTTCAGAAGAATCCAAAGGAAAAAAGAGTAAGAATTATATGACAAAGTTTATGAGGATAATGTTTTATTATTTTGTTGCAGAAGGACTCCATGAAAGATGACAGAAGAAGTTATTGTTATTGCAAAGTGGGATTACACTGCACAGCAGGACCAAGAACTTGACATCAAGAAAAATGAGCGTCTTTGGCTATTAGATGATTCTAAGACATGGTGGAGGGTAAGAAACGCGGCCAACAAAACGGGATATGTGCCATCAAATTATGTGGAGCGAAAAAACAGCTTGAAGAAAGGTTCTCTGGTTAAAAATCTAAAAGACACACTGGGTAAGTCCTTTTGTATTTTGGAATAAATTTAGTAGACTTGATGAGTTTCAGGTTAGGAATGTAATGTGGATATAAATGTTTTTTAACATGTGTGTTTGGTGTTTATGCTTAGTTTGAGGTGACATGATGGGTAGATGATTGAGGGAGGGAAGGAGGGAGGGAGAGACAGAGAGTGGGTGTGGGTGGAGAATCACGTGTAAAAATCTGCAATATGTTTCCTTCCATCACATCCAGAAGAAAAAGATGTTACTTTTGTTCCAGTTTTCAAAGGATCTGTATTTTCAGTGGCTGAAGAACTGAGTTTCATAGACAAATCAACTGCTGAATCCTCTCCTTTCACACTAACTCCTCTCACTTGAAAGATGAAGGATGTAAACTGGATTGTTCAGCATAGGTATCATAGCCAAAGCTAAATCACTCTATGAATGGGATTTTACAGCTTGGCTATATACAGTTATGTTTCTGTGGTCTGAGATGTTCTATCAACTTCCAAGTCCTTAAATATGTATTCTACTTTCAACTTGCACATCAAGTCTTCACAACAGTATCTCATACACATAAAATAATCTAGCTTTGAAAAATTTTGTGTGTATTTTAAAGAAATCTATTTGAAAGTCAAGTGAAATGGGTTTTTTTTTCTTTGATTTTTTAGACTGATTAAAAAGGGCTTTGCATAGAAAAGGTTAGAAAAGGTTACAAACACAGTGATAAATTGTTTTATGCCAGGAAGACCTACTAGTGGTATTTCAGGATGTTATGAATAAAACAGAAACAGGCACATTAAAAGTGTTTTGAGGGGTTTTCTTTTGTTTTGGTTTTTTGCCTGTGTTTTATGAAGTCTTATATAGAGAAAATTTATTCTGTTGCAGACTGCTGTACAAAATGACTCTTCAATAGAAAAATTAGGATTCAGGGATTGGACTTACTAGAAAGTTAAAAGGTTCACTTAAAAATAACATGGCAATAGCTTATGCAAGATAATCCTTTGCCAGTGTTGCTTCTAACAGGCTTTGTTTCTTAGGCATTCCTTCATTACCATGTCTTCCACTGCTGAGTTGCCATAAAGCACATGGAAATTGGGGACTAGAGGATGGGTGGCAGGCAAACAAGGTTACCATAAAATTTACCATGGTAATATTTAGAACCACAGTCCTTTCTACAGATACTCTTAGAACATACTGATTATAGTGCCAGGAAATGTGATTATGCCTTTTTAAAGATTAAAGTCCCAGTTATGACATTAAGCTCCTTTTATATAGATTTATGTTGTTTAAAACATAAATATAATGTATGTATTTTGTCTGAAAAGTACCTTAGGAAAGGATTGCAGTCCTTTGTAATAATATTTCAAGTGTTCATGTAAAATGGGGGCAATATTTGCTTGATGCAAACACATTTTTATTTATGTCCAACAGAAATCTCTTTAAGTGAAGGAATAGAGGTGTGTCCTAGCCTATGTGTGTATTTATTTTCAGTCTTAGCAAAACTGCACGGTGCAGGGTGCTTCCCCTCACTCTAGAGGTGAGTGATGAAAAGCTGTGGGAAAAAAGCTTGGTGGTTTCATGGCTGAACCATCCCTAGGTGTCACACCTCCCAAGCCTCAGCCCTTTGTGCACACCTGCATGGGGTTTTAAGTTCTGAAGTACTGTTATGACAAGTATGCTTCAGAACAGACAGACAACATTCCTTGATCCCTTTCTAATGGTTTTCTCTGTGTGTTTGTTCAGCTGAGGCAGAAAGTGCCTTATGATGGGACCTGGTCTTTGTGTGCTGTGTCCACACTTACCTGGTGAGCATCCAGAGTGTGAAGCACCTCTCATGCTCTTTTAAGTTCATATACCCTGTGACAGTGAGAAACTGTCTAAGGCATACCTTACTCACAAATGGATTCAGAATATTCTTAATATCCATCCAAAGGAGCTGGTGCTTAAGAGTATTCTTTTTTAAAAGTTTAGCTGCTGTGAACTCCTTACCATAATGAAACATATATGTGCTGTGTACCGTGTATCTGTACAACGTTTTTTACCTTTCCTGAATCAGTGTCCTCAACTAAACTATAGTATTTAAGCCTTTCCTGTCTTGCTGTACAGTAATTTCCCATTCAGAACAAGCAGAGCATGTGTCCTTCCTTAGAGGACCCATTGTTTTGAGAGGCCATCAAAAATGCACTCCTTTTTAAACAAAGGCTTGCAAATTGCAAGACTGACACTTCCTCTGGTGAAACAGCTTTTGAAAGTTTTGCTTCACCCAGTGAAGCAAATTCTTAAGTTCTCTTTATACAAATATGTCTAATGTATCACTATGTCTGCCTCTCCAAGGATCACAAGAAAATTCTCATTAAAATACCTCCTAACCCACCTACCCAGTTGGGAATGGTGATCATGAGTATTAATCCTTAAACCAAATCTGTTTCCAACTTTGATCTTGAAGCTACTGCCAAAATATCAGGTACTGAACTTAAAGAAAAACCCCAACAAAATGTCGCTTAATAGTCTGTCAATAATTAATCATGAATCTTGTGAAGCCTCAGGAGAGAAACAGCAGACTCATAGCTGCTTCCTGTGACGTACCTACACCCCCCCTTTTCATACTTGTGTCACTCAAGCAAATGGTTGTTCCCATGGAGATGCACTTTCCCCTGCCTCTTTCTTAATAGATTACATTTCCTTGTGTTAAAAAGAATTCATCTGAAAGCATCGTTATCATGCAAATGATGTCATCGTGTGTTGTGTATGTGATTACCTGTAGCTATCTGCCACTCTTGTGCTTATCCACCGTAATTACTGGTGCTTGAATTATATTTTTATATTCAATAAATATGAAAAGTGCCAGCCATAGCTCAAATTGTGGCAGACCCTGTAGGAGCTATAACTATTTAATTAATAGTTCCCCTCGTTTGCTGTTGAAGATGCATCATCTGAATAGTTGTTCATCTTTGGCAGTCTGTTTTCTAATGAAACTTTATGCCAGCAGTTATGTTGGTGTCTTGTACACAAAAGCTTATAATCTCATCAGAGAATTAAATCATGCCTATTTGATGCTAAAAACTAATTTTTCCTGAACTGTTGACTGTCATTAATAATATCTCAACCCTTGAATATTTTATTAATAGAGTCCTATCAGCTTTACAGTTTTTGGCTCAGGGTTGATGGAAGATTGATGGACATATGGTTACCTAGAACACGCAGCTTGATGTTTTGAAATATCAGCCCATTCTTAGCAATGTCTTAAGGCTTTCTTGAACTTCCATTTTATTTTGGCATTTAAAAAAAAAAATAATTAAAATGTGTTCGGAGAAGCTTTCCTAAATGTGTTGGGTGCTTATTAAAACACTGATTAATGCTTGTTTAGCATATGTTCTTTAAATCAGTTCCTTGTGGACTGAAAAACAGCTCACCCAAAATCTCAAATGACCCCCAGTACTTTCTGAAGAGATACTTTAGAATCATCCTACGCCTTTTCACAAAACAATAGCCTTTTCTACACCATTCACTTTGCCTTTCTAAGGGCTTGCTCTATTCTGTTGTATCTTCTTTTAGTCCTGACATCAGGGAATTTTCTGTGGCTTTTAACTTTCCTTAAATTACTCGGAGAAACTTTAAATCTTGTAATTCTTTGATTGATGGATGTCTGGTTTTGTCATTTTTCTGTTTGATATATACTACTTGTGTCTTCTTAAATCTCTTTCTTGAGTGAGGTCTAATGAATACTCAGCTACAATGGCCTAGTTTTAATTATGGAAATACAGTGTATAGGCCACCTATTGAGTATTTTAAATGATTCATCTTCTCATTCCCTTTTTTGTCTTGACTGAGTGATACTGCAAGTAAAATGTTAATGGAAATTTGGCCATTTCAAATTGCTGTCTTCTGTTTGCTCATATTGAATGAAATTTGGTAATTATAACTATTCTTAAGGCAAAAGCCAGCTTCTATGCCTGTGATTAAAATTTCATCTTCATTCATTATAATGAAGCTTAAAATAGTTTCCTTTTACAGTATTTCTTTTGCAGGGAGGGTATTTTCTATACATTTTGAATAAGTCTTACTAAGCAAGAGACCTCCAGCATGCATCTTTTAAACTGTAATTTTCTGTAATATAATTCTTCCCATGTGCTGGGGGGTGGAAAGGAATTCCCGTATCCATTTGGTTGGAGTGGGTGTTTGCCAGCACCACCCCCAGAGCTGCCTCTGAGTGCAACTCCGCGGGTTTCCCCGTCTGCAGCAAAGATGATCTATGCCTGCTGGCTCATCTCTGTCATGCCAAACAGAAACCTTATCTCAAGGAAGCCAAAATAATTGAGAAGTCAGTTGTTTGTATACTCAAAATAAAACTTCTACATTTTTTCCATCCCTTTGCAAGTCATTTTCCTGGCAGCAGCACAACTCCCCAGGCAGCAGCGTGCCATTAGTGACTGAAGCGTGTGATCCAACAGCAGGGTGCCATTTTCATGGGAATCCATGATTTTCTGAATGTTTTTGCTGGTTTTGCTGCTTTTGCTTCACAACCAGCACTGCAGATAGGCTTTTCTTTCAGGTTTCTGGTCTTGTTCCCTTTAGTGAGCAACTACGTAAGAAACCTTGAGGACACTTCTGCTCTGCTCTTGGTGTGGGTTTTTGGACAGATGCCCTGCAAAAGAAAAAGGTTTAATAAAATGTGTATTGAAAAAGAGATTGGACACCAAGAATACAGAAGAGGTATTTGCAGATCTGTAGAAACAATAGAAACAGATGAGCTTTGGTAGTGATGGCAAGTGACAGTAACCTTGATAGCATTTCACAGACATGTTTGAGTTGCAGGAGAGTCTTTTTAAATGGCTCCTTTATCGGGCTTCTGGAACCCAATAAAGGGTTCTGGAAGTCTGCAAAACTTTTCAGTAACTTTTCACTCAGTATACTAGATTTGGAAAGTAAGAATTGCCAAGTGAGACATAATGTAGAGAAGCCAGTTCTTGCTTGCGTCAGTGTTCCTAGCAGGTTGTTTCACAAGTGTTATGAGCA